AGTGCAATAGGTGCATTAATGTATCTTGCTAACAATACACGACTGGATATAGCATTTAGTAAATTTGTTAGCAAGATATAGTTGTGCTTCGACATGAAGACATTGGAATGAAATTAAGCATATATTATGATATCTTCAAGGAACAATAAATATGAGTTTATTTTATGCAGATGAATCTACACCTCAATTAATTGGTTATGCAGATGTGGGATATTTATCTAACCCACATAAAGTTATATCTCAAACAGACTATTTGTTCACATATGGAGGTACGACTATTTCATGGCATTCTACAAAACAAACTATAGTTGCTACTTCTTCAAACCATGCCGAGATAATAGCTATCCATGAAGCAAGCCGAGAATGTGTTTGGCTCAAATCAATAACCCAACATATTCAAGAATCATGTGACATTGATTACAACAAAGAAGTTCCTATAACATTATATGAAGATAATGCTGCATGCATAGCTCAGTTAAAGGGAGGTTATATCAAAGGTGATAGGACGAAACATATATCACCAAAATTCTTCTTCACTCATGATCTTCAAAAGAATGGCGATATTGAAGTTAAACAGATTAAGTCATGTGATAATCTGGCAGACTTATTCACTAAAACTTTACTGACTGCAACATTTGAAAAGTTGTTATACAATATTGGAATGCATCGATACAAAAATCTTAAGTGATATCATCATGAGGGAGAGTAAATACGCACTGTACTCTTTTCCCTTGACCAAGGTTTTATCCCACTAGATTTTCCTAGTAAGGTTTTTAATGAGACAGTTTCTAAATGCGTATAATACACAAGAATAATGTACTCCTTTTCCTTCACTAGGTTTATTGGGTTTTTTCCTAGTAAGGTTTTAACGAGACATATTCTTTGTGTAATGGACATCCAAGGGGGAGTGTTATGAATAAATGTGGATGCCCCTTGCAATTTTATAACTTCTTAATCTTTCATCTTCTCTAAGTCTTAAACCTTTCAAGTTTTACAAATTCAAAGCATTTTATTAGTTTTTAATTTTATAATCTTGAGACTATAAATAGATGTATTGTAAAAGATGATGTACACTAAACTTTGGAATAGAAAAGCATTGGTTGTATTATCCCTCAATTATCTTCTCTCTTCTTATAGCTTATTTTATAATATCATCATTGAATTGTATGATATTTAAATTATACAAATAAATGCAATATATTAAACATTATCCTGAAAAAATTAACATTGAGACATCATAAAAAACGAACTTGTTTAAACCCACCGCACACGGCCATCTAGCCACCACCGAAAAGGGCAAAGTTGAAAATAACAAAATAAAAGCGGCCGCCTTTTGACGTAAAGGTGGGTGGCGGCTAGATAATAATTGAAGTTTGTTTCTCACTTATTTAGGGCTTGCGATCGGGTTGGATAAAAAAATCACCATATTTTATTGAGAGATTAAAAAAAAAAAAAAAAATTAACCTCTCAAAATATTCTTGCACGTGTAATCAAAATAAACCTATGTCATAAGTTTACTAATTTGCCATTTTATGTTAAATTTTGAGTTAATATCTTTAATCACATTTTTAGGTAGTAAAATAAACAATAAAAAGATAATTCATAATAGTATAAATTCTAACGTTAGAGGGATTTTTATTATTTTAAAAACTTTAGGATATTTTTCTAATTATAACATATTTAAGAGGCTAATATCCTTTTTTAACTCTTAAAATTTTGAAAATATTTAAAGAGATTTATATGATTTTCAAAAAAAATAAGTCTAATTTACTATTTAAATCATGGAAGTTTAATTATAATTTTTTTCCAACCTCATGAGTCAATAAAAATTAATCATTTTTACTTGTAATATTATTTGTATTTTATGATTCTAGTATGTTGATTATATACAATTATTGACTATATAATGTTTTGAATAATTACAATAGTTCTCTTAGAAGAATAATATATGTTGGTCCAAAGTGAAAAGGATATTTTGGTGGCATAAAGAAAGAATAAAACTAAGATTAAGCAAATTGGTCAAACCATGACAACTTGATATTTGTATAAAGTATGCCAAAGGTTCCTTATTTTCCAATTAACTTTTTTTTTTTCTTTTCTGGCTCTAAAGTGATTAAATATACAAATATAAATGATCAAAAATACAAAAAAAAAAAAAAAATCATCTCAAATAAATACAGTATAAATTCTATAAATTAATAATCTTGGGACTGTATAAATTCTATTAATCACAAGGGGTATTAATTAATCAATAAATTAATAATTTATTAATTTATAGAATGTATTACGATTCGACGAACATATATTTAAATTAGAGGTGAGATCCAACAAAATTCAAACATCAACAACACTTTATAATTTTTTTATTGCAATTCGAGAATTCAATCTCAGAACTTTTAGATGCAATGAGAAAAATTAGAGACGAGATCCTACAAGATTTAAATTTTAAGAAAAAACAAGTAACAATAGAATCATATTTTAATAAAATATTATAATCAATTAGTAAATTATTTATTTATGATATGAATAGGACCACAAAGTTATATAAGATTTTCTAGAAAAATATTATTTTATTAATTTATTGAAATTATTATTTTAATTGACTAGCCTAAGTCAAGACCATAAAAAAATATTATATAATAAAGGTTATTATGGAGGCTATGGGTTGTAATTGGATTAGAAAATTTTATTATTAATTAATTAAATTACGTTGGTTTTACTACTTATAAAACTAAAATAGACATAATATTTCATGAAAAAATCATGAAAATTTTATTTTCTAAAGAAATAATGTTACACTCCTCACTTATCATTTGGAATTTTCATTTCTTTTAATTTGGTCCTTATGTGATATGTAATTTCATTTCTAAAAGATCATAAGGTTCAATATTATTCATAAGTTTAAGGTCATCCTTCAACATTTCAGGCTTACATAGATAATGCAATATTATTAGATACTAATAATCCTTATTTAGGATGAAATATTTATGATATACTTTAAGAATTTCTCATTGTTGGAAACTTTTAATTCAATTTGAATGAGAAATTTGTCTGAAGTATTGCGGGTTGTGTTTGTATTATTATTTTGAGTAGTATTTTTGAAAAAATATGAGTTGGGTTATTATTACGAGATATGATTTAAATTTGAAAATGTGTTTGGTAAGATTATTTTTAATCCTCTACATAAGTTATTCCAGTTAAACACTCTATACAATAAAAGTTTTAAAATTAACAAAAACACCCCACCCACCCATTAAATGCTGGCAGTCGGCCACCACCGCTGGACGGTGGTCGAAAATCTCCAGAATAGCGCACGACCAGCTGGATGTGGTCAGTTGAGGGTGTTTAGTTAAATTAACAAACCTAAAGATTAAAAAAATCTAGGGTGCGTTTGTTTTATTATTCCTTATCCTATTCCCAAAATACATGTTTTTTAATTATTTGGAAAATACTATTCTATTTTTTAATTATTTTTAGACCCCTTAAGTTTATTAATTTAATTAAACACCCCTGGAAAAAAAAGTTTAAAAATTAACAAAAACACCCCCACCCACCCAAAGTTGCCAGATTCCGGCAACCACCGTCGGCGATTGCCGGAATCTGTCACAACGGCGTAGACCAGAATTGGTCAGTAATTCGCTTATATGTGATGGCCAAATCTGGCCTTCTACGGCCGTCGACGGTTAGATCTAGCCTTTTCCTGCCAGATCCATGGTGGATCTGGCCAGAAAAGGCCATATCGATGCATGACCGGCCAAATCTGACCGGTCTAGGTCGTAACGCCATTTTTCGGCCAGATTCCGACGGTGGTGGCTGGAATTTGGCACTGTGTGTGGGTGGGGGTGTTTTTGTTATTTTACAAAATGTTTATATATTGGGGTGTTTAGTTAAATTAGCAAACATATGGGGTTTTTTTTGTTAATTTTTAAATTTTACCTTGTAATACTCACCTTGTTCAACTACCCAATATTATTTCCAAAATCTTATCCAAAATAACAAAACAAACGTACTCCTAAATATTTTGAGTTGAATAGAATATGATTGGATTTTAAGAATAGGGAAACAAATATGTATTTTGGGTAGGATATGAATAGAATAGGAAAAAATAATAAAACAAATGCAACTAGGTTATTTATTGATATTAGAGCATCTCCAAAGGACTTTTTTATATGACCTAAACTCTTAATTATAAAGAGTCTGTCCATAAAAACAAGAGTCCAACATACTCTTTATCTTTAAAATATAAATTAGAGAGTGAGTTTGACTCTCCACATTTAGAGAGTCAAATGTCACTCTATATCCTAATTTTAATTAATAAACTACAAGTTTCTATACATTTTATTTATTAATTTTCTCTCTCATTAAGTCTTTTTCTTAAAAATAAAGAGCATCTTCATTAAATTTAAAGAGCCTATTGGATTTGAATAAAAATTGTCTTCTTTATATTTAAAAATTAATGAAGATGCTCTCTATTTATATGAAATATGCTCTTTAAAACATTGGAGATGCTTTTAAGTGATGCAAAGGTTATCATTTAAAAAAAGAAATAAAGAAAATCGAGCCCTCTCATTAAGTCGAGTATCATTATTTAGAAATCGAATTCTCTCACAAAATCAAGTTCCATTTTTCAGAAATTGAACACTCTTATAAAGTCTATTACAATTTTTTATTAATATATATAATATTTTTAGAAATCAAACACTCTCATAAAGTCTAGTATCTAAATATATCCCCAAAATTAAATTAAGTAGGTTAAGTAGGATAAATTTTTTTATAAAATTATATAATAATAATACTCATATAAACCAACCCAACCACCCCTGCAATAAATTTTATTTTTCTCAGTTCCCTCCAAAAACCCAAAAGCAAACAAACCCAACCCAACCCACCCTCACCTTAATCATTAGTCACTAAAAACATCACAGCTAATCACGCTTTTGCCCCCAATCGAACCCCACTCTCACTCCCACAACACATTTCCACACTTAAAAATTCCCCTCAAACCCCAAACTCCAAACTCTTTCTCTATTACGCGTTTCCTCAAACGTCCTCGAGGGAGACGACTTGCCCCCACCCCCACCTCCACCCCAATCCCCGCTCAAAACCCTAACTCTCGCCGACATGGCCGCCGAGTCCTCCCACCTCCACCACCAGCAGCAGCAACAGCTCGCCGCCATCCTCGGCCCCGACTCCGCCCCCTTCGAAACCCTCATCTCCCACCTCATGTCCGCCTCCAACGAGCAACGATCCCAGGCCGAAGTCATCTTCAACCTCTGTAAACAACACGATCCCGATTCCCTCACCCTCAAGCTCGCCCAACTTCTCCAGCTCTCCCCCCACCCCGAGGCCCGCGCCATGGCCGCCGTCCTCCTTCGTAAGCTACTCACCCGCGACGACGCGTTTCTCTGGCCTCGCCTCTCGCTCTGCACTCAGTCGTCTCTTAAATCGATTCTTTTAGCATCTATCCAATCAGAGAATGCTAAATCCATCTCTAAGAAGCTTTGCGACACCGTTTCGGAGCTTGCTTCTAACATTCTTCCCGATAATGGATGGCCTGAACTGTTGCCGTTTATGTTCACGTGCGTGTCGAGTGACAATTTTAAGTTGCAAGAATCGGCGTTCTTGATCTTCGCGCAGTTGAGTCAATACATCGGCGACACGTTGATTCCTCATATTAAACACCTCCACGCTGTGTTTTTAAACTGTTTAACGAACTCCGTTAACTTTGACGTCAAGATCGCCGCGTTGAACGCCGTTATCAATTTCATCCAGTGCTTGACGAGCTCCTCGGATCGGGACCGGTTCCAGGACCTGTTACCGTCGATGATGAGGACGTTGACGGAGGCTTTGAATAACGGAAATGAAGCGACAGCGCAGGAGGCTTTGGAGTTGTTGATTGAATTAGCGGGGACCGAGCCCCGGTTCTTGCGGAGACAATTAGTGGACGTTGTCGGGTCCATGTTGCAAATAGCGGAGGCGGAGAGTTTGGAGGAAGGGACACGTCATCTGGCGATTGAGTTCGTGATTACACTTGCGGAGGCGCGTGAGCGGGCCCCCGGGATGATGAGAAAGTTGCCGCAATTTATTAGTAGGTTGTTCGCGATTTTGATGAAGATGTTGTTGGATATCGAGGATGATCCAGCGTGGCACACGGCGGAGACTGAGGATGAGGATGCTGGTGAGACGAGCAACTACAGTGTGGGACAGGAGTGTTTGGATAGGTTGGCGATTGCTTTGGGAGGGAACACTATTGTTCCAGTGGCCTCTGAGCAGTTGCCAGCTTATTTGGCTGCGCCGGAGTGGCAGAAACATCATGCTGCATTGATTGCGCTTGCACAGATTGCTGAGGGTTGTGCCAAGGTATAATGATTTTAGTTTTAGAAGGTTATTTGCTTATTGGGTTTCTTAATTTAATTGTGTTAATGTGACAGAGAGTATGGTTACTGAAAGTAATGTATACTTGTGGTCACTATAATTTTACAATTTATATGGATATTACTGTAATTCAATTGTGTGAAAGTATGTCTTTTCATCTCATTTTGTAAAGAAATGATTTTAATTTTAGAAAATTATTGTGAGTGTATTATGAGACAGTGTGGTTATCGAGTATTTGATGCGGTTTACGGTTTAATTGTGTTAATACGATAGAAATTTTATAAAGTGTAAGTAATGTGTAATTTTAGTGACAATAATGTTATTTTTCAGATGGATATTCTTAAGTTGGTAATGATGATATTCGTTTGGAAGTACTAATGAGAGATGTTATTCAATTTGTGGAGTATTCTAATGTCTGTCTTTGGTGGTAGTTACTTGTATTTAGTGTTAGTCTTGTTGTTATGATTAAATGTTTTTTGTCTGAAGTTGAATTAGGACAAATGGTGTGTTTAGTAGAAATGATTAGGTGTTTGGGTTTTTTGTTTGATTCCTGTATTTATGAGAGTTTGGATATACTGATTGAATGATAGTATATTTGTCTTGGCCTTTCTGAATAATTTGTTCTTAAATATGTTTGTAAGGTGTGCCTTTAATAAGGTTTTAGGTCCTTTTACTTCTTGGGGTTTACATTTTTAAAGGGTAGACTTGAGCACTGTTTTACAAGAGGCTTCTTGTATTTGGATAATGGTACTCTAGATATTTTTTTAAGTTCTGATTGATAGTTTCTTAGTGATGGATGGGAAGAATTACATTTTCTGTACTGCTATTGCTGATTTATAATTTGATCCTGTTCTTGTAGGTAATGGTAAAAAACTTAGAGCAAGTATTGTCAATGGTTCTGAACTCATTTCATGATCCGCATCCCCGTGTGAGGTGGGCGGCTATTAATGCAATTGGGCAGTTGTCAACGGACTTGGGTCCTGATTTGCAAAATCAATTCCATCAAAGGGTTATCCCAGCTCTAGCTGGCTCTATGGATGATTTCCAGAATCCCAGAGTACAGGTTAGTCAAAGCTATGAGCTTTATGTGCTTTTGTGCATTATTTATTTATTTTAACTGGAAATATTTTCATTGGTGCATCACATCGATTTGGCAGTTCTTTTTTCACCACAACTATGGTGGTGATCCTTGTAATATAAACCGTTTTTCTCAGTAACATGATGTAAATTAGGCGACCGTATGAGTTCCTTGAAATAAAACAATTGGAAACTTTCTTTTACTTAAACTTATATTGCCAGAATGGTAAAGCATACCTTTTTCTTTGTACAGTCTATACCGAAAAATGTAACTTTTCCATTTGTTTTCTGTTCTTTTATGTTGTTTGGCTAGACCTTCTATATATTCTCTGTGCAGGGATGTTGTGATTTTTTTAAATCTTGATGTATTCTCATTTGATTAGCTATATGGATAACTTGGTAATTACTAGACAGTTCTCCCTGTAGTTTTGAATGAAATATGGAAACTATTACAACAGGTTACTATGAACCTTTGGTCGTCAGATTTATTTATTTTTTGATAAATTTTTGGAGTTAGGGGATACCCATGGAAGTTTTCAGATGTGTTTAACTCGAGTCATTACTAGAAATTGCTTCCTGGGGTATTAAATGAAGTATGTTGATTTAGTTGATTAAAATGGGTTTTTCTACACTTGCAAACTGTCTTTTAATTCTATCTATTGGTGAAGTAAGGTGGTTGCCATGGAAGCTCCTGAATCTATGAATAAAATTTGCTATCTACTACAGTAGGTTGGTATCAACCTTTGATTATCATATTTTTTGTTTGATAAATTTTTGGAGTTAGGGTATGGCCTTGGAAGTTTTCAGATGTGCTTTATTTTTTGTTTAATAGAAATTGTTTCCCGGGTTACTAAATGAAGTATGTTGTTTTAGCCAATTAAAATGGGTTCTTCTACACTTGCAAACTGTCTGATATAAAAAAAATATAATCCTATTGATTTGTGAGATGAGTTGGTTGCTGTGGAAAACCTGAATCTATCAATAAATCTCTTAGGACTTCAATCTTTTTTGAGATGCAGTTTTATCCCTGAAGTTTTGAATAACTTAGGTGAGAATAATGGGTGATAAGTAAAAAATTAAATTGGAGTAAGATGGCAATGGTAAATTTGTGTCCTTGATTTGTCTTTCCTTTATGTTTTATATTAACTTTAAAATTCATATTGCTTTTAGATTTTGTCAATAAGGAAATGTTATACTGGATTTTTCTATTTGTTGTTCATCATCACCTAAAAGCTTTAGCAAGGGGGTAAGGGTGCTGTAGATATTGAACTCGAATGAGTTGGACAGGGGTTTGGAGATTTTGATTTGTAGCCTTTTGCTTGGCCTTATACACATGATTTGGAATGTTCAGTTTCTGATTTCCAAATCCAGAATTTATAGTGGTCTGAAATTGGTGTAGCTACTCTCTAACTTAGCAGATCATGATACTTTAGGTAGCCTTTTTTGTTATTAGGGTATCTCTCTCTTTTTGAAATTAGAAAAAAAAAGTTGGGTAACTACCCTTGCTACGTATTATTTGACATGCATCTACTTGTAACCATTGAAGCTACAGAGGAAATGCTCCTCAAATTTATGCCTAACTCTCTTATATTTCAGCAGTTCATATTGTAGAGAAGAAATACGAAAGAGTAGATAACAAATTGTGTGTCAGATTAGGAAAAGACTAAAGCTAGTTTTTAAACAGCTTATGAAAAATACTTCAAGATATGGTGGAATGAAACTGCCGTTAGTTTGTGATTGAATCTGAGTTGGTTTGATATTTATCTATTGGACCAATAGATTTTCAGGTCAGTGGATTGGAATATAATGTCCTAGCAGCTGTTTATAATCAAGATAGTAATGTTGTTTTGCTTTTTTAAAGAATATTTCATTCTTAACTTATGGGAAAAAAAACCTGCTTTGTTCTTAATGCAAAACAAATGATTTGGAAATTATATCAAGTTTATAAAGCAATTTAGTCAAAAGTCTTCAATTATAGGAAACCTAATTCTACTAGATTTATTCTTTCTATGAAAACTTACTGGGTTATGGCATGTGTATTGTATATCCTTATCTGGAACTCTGTTGTTCTGTATTTTTGTGCTTTCTGACTAAAGAGAATTTCTGGTGCATTTACCATATACTTACTGTTTCTTCTTCAGGTGAAACATACAGTTTTATTTTGCCAGAGTATCAGGAAGATGTTAGATATTTCCATAAATGCTTAACTTCTTGTATAATATGTGTATCAACAGGCACATGCTGCTTCAGCAGTGCTCAACTTCAGTGAGAACTGCACACCGGAAATCTTAACACCCTACTTGGATGGCATCGTGAGCAAATTGCTTGTTCTTCTGCAGGTATACTGACAATTTAATTAACAGCAATTTACTATGCAATGATTTGCGTAACTAATTTGAATAAGTAGACATTTTTCTTGAAATTGCTAAATATCACATATGTAATATGGCAGAATGGAAAACAAATGGTGCAAGAGGGAGCCTTAACTGCTTTAGCATCCGTTGCGGACTCATCTCAGGTATTCTATAATTCTGCTCTGGTTAGTGGTTAATTGTTATGGATGCCCCTCTCTGAGAGCAATGGGTTTTTGTAGGAGCACTTCCAAAAATACTATGATGCTGTTATGCCTTACCTGAAAGCTATTTTGATCAATGCAACTGACAAGTCTAATCGCATGCTTCGTGCCAAATCCATGGAGTGCATTAGTCTGGTGGGAATGGCCGTTGGAAAGGAGAAGTTCAGGGATGATGCTAAGCAGGTAGATATAATATTATGCATAAAGTTCTTCCAGATCAATTCTTGCCACCCACCCAACCCCTATTCTCATGTGGAGATTCAACCCTTTTGTTTCATCTCAATGGTTGATGACTTAAATGATTTTTAAGGATTTTCCAAATAATGTGATACTTGAACCTATACCCATCCATTGAAAGAGCTAGATCTCTGTAATGTACCACACGTTTTAGGTCGTGGTTTGGTGAAAATTACAATGACCTTATCTTGAGTTTCTTTTTGCTTTGATTTTTTGCTTCATATCAACATGTCCTGATATTAGAAATGTGACTTAAATCTAATGCCTACTTTGTGCTAGGTTATGGAAGTGCTTATGTCATTGCAAGGATCTCAAATGGAGACAGATGATCCAACAACAAGTTACATGCTACAAGTATGTTCTATCACTGAAAATGTGCAGAAAGTATCATTATATCTGCTCATTTTCTCATATGATAACTAGTTTATATTTTTTATAGGCATGGGCCAGACTCTGCAAGTGCTTAGGACAAGACTTCCTCCCTTATATGAGTGTTGTCATGCCACCTTTGCTTCAGTCTGCTCAGCTTAAGCCAGATGTAACCATTACATCTGCAGATTCAGACAATGAAATTGAGGACTCAGATGATGAGAGGTATTTCCTTCCAGAAAATTTCATTCAATACCTATTGTCAGTGCAAGGATACTTATGCATATGATGTGCATGTGCTTTTACTAAATAATTTTTTTGCTTAAACTTAAGTATTTAAATGGTTAGGGTGCGTTTGTTTCAGTATTTTGGATAGGATTTTTGAAAAAGTAAGGGTTGGGTGGTTATTACAAGGTAGGATTTGAAATTAACAAAAACACCCCTGTAATAAAACATGGAAAATTAACAAAAACACCCCCATCCACCCATTAAATACCGGCAGCCGGCCACCACCGCCAGAGGGTGGCCAGAGTTGCCGTATTGGCACACGACTGGCTGAATCTAGCCGGTCGTGCGCCAATATGACATTTTCCAGCTAGATCCACTATGGATCTGGCCAAAAAAGGCCAGATCTATGGCTAGATTTGACCGCGTTTGGTCGTCAACAACGGTCATATCTTGGCTGTCGTTGACTAGCTATGACCAAAGTCTGGCCGTCAACGGCCAGATCTTTGGCCATAAATCTGGCCGAAAAAGGCTAGATCAGCGCACTACTAGTCGGTAGTGCACCATTATACCAGATTCCGGCCACCTGCTGGTGGTGGTGGCCGGAATCTGGCAATTGTGGGTGGATGGGGGTGTTTTTGTCAGTTTCTAAACTTTTTTTTTTGGGGTTTAGTTAAATTAACAAACCTAGGGGGTTTAAAATAATTAAATAAAATAAAATAGGATTTTCAGAATAGGGAAACAAATGTGTATAGTGCAAAAATAGGGAAACAAACGCATCCTGTACCTTTTTCTTCTTTCATTTTGTTGCATGAAGTCTTCTGGCAGTATTTCCCTTCTTATGTTCTCTCTTCATCCTATCTTCTCCTCTTGCATACACCTAGGCAAATGGAAATGAGTGCAAGAGCTTTTAAGTTCTTCTTTTGTTGCTTTTCTGCAACCACATCGTGACATATAGTGGTAGCATGTCTGTTTTGCACATTGGTTTATGGCACCTTGCTAATATTTCTTTATCTATTACAGTATGGAGACAATTACTCTTGGGGACAAAAGAATAGGAATTAAAACAAGTGTGTTGGAGGAAAAAGCTACAGCTTGTAACATGCTATGTTGCTATGCTGATGAGTTGAAGGAAGGATTTTTTCCATGGATTGATCAGGTCTGTCTAGGTGCATTGTTATTGAAATTTCTTTCTAAACCTTTCAATAATCCTCTTTTGACTTAAGGATGCAATTGTGGTCAGGTTGCTCCAACGCTAGTCCCTCTTCTTAAATTTTATTTCCATGAAGAAGTTAGAAAAGCGGCTGTATCAGGTACTAATTGGCCATAAATATTGACGCATTAGATGCATATTCTTTCATGGTTTTCTTCTCCATGTTATAGGATCTTTGCTATTCTCCTGACTGGTAATTTCTAAATTTTTCTTTCAAGCAATGCCGGAGTTACTGCGCTCTGCAAAATTAGCTGTAGAGAAAGGCCTAGCACAAGGACGTAATGAGTCCTATGTAAAGCAGTTGTCTGACTATATCATTCCAGCTCTTGTGGAAGCATTACATAAGGTCTTTCATGTTCATTTTCGTTTGAAATTACTTTTCATACCGTAAATCTAATTACACCATCAATATAATATTTATTTAGGGTGATGAAAAGTGCTTGAATTGCAATTTTTGTGCAGGAACCAGATACAGAGATCTGTGCAAGCATGTTAGACTCATTGAATGAATGCATACAGGTTTGTCATGTTTGTAATGGTGTAATATAGTTACCAAGCGCTTCTGGTTGCCTCATGCTATGCTTGATATGAGATTTCTGACTGATTTTGCAAATGTCGTATTTCTTTCAGATCTCTGGACTGCTTCTGGATGAAGGCCAAGTCAGATCCATTGTGGATGAGATAAAGCAGGTTATTACAGCCAGCTCAAGTAGAAAAAGAGAGAGAGCTGAGAGGGCCAAAGCTGAAGACTTTGATGCTGAGGAGTCAGAGTTGATTAAAGAGGAAAATGAACAAGAGGAAGAAGTTTTTGATCAAGTTAGTATCATCAATCAATACCATCTATAAGCATAAAAGCACATTGGCAGTAGAGCTAATGTTTTGTTATCTGGCTTTTTTATTTTTTCTCTTTTTTTATCTGTTGGTCTATAAAATCTTGTGTCTTCTGTCTAAATATTTTTTTTTTTTTTGCCAGGTTGGTGAAATTCTGGGAACTTTGATCAAAACATTTAAAGCCAATTTCTTGCTTTTCTTTGATGAGCTATCCACATATCTGACACCTATGTGGGTAAGTTCTGCCATTATAACATAGGTTTATTTTGTATTTGGTTCCTTTTACCTGAAATGTTTTCTTCACTTGCTGCTCTTCTTCATACTTATCTGTTGAGGTATGACCAAAGTGCTTATATTGTATGTGCTGCACTTGGTTTGAACAGTTGATTGTTGCTAGAATGTATGCAGTTTTGTTCTTTTGAAATTTGGGTTTATGAAATGAAGAACTTCATTGGAGAATTTTTGAGAAAGAGTGTATCAGAGAGAGAAGTCACAGTGAGAGGGAAAAGATAAATCAGAATAGAAACTAGGTTTAGAAAGAGAGGACAAAGCAGTAAATTGAGAGCAACTCTCTTCAACAATGTAAATCCAATTAAAATTGCTCACTCTTCTAAGAATTCTTTCTTGAGACTTACTTTTTATCTATGAAACGACTCTTCAACAATTTAATTCCAGTGAAAAACTCTTCAACTCACATTTGATTGATCAAAAGTGGTAAAAGGAGAGGAAATGAGGCACTGGTTCTACAGGCATCTTAGCAAATGATTTCAGTGCATAATTATGTATGTCTCAATTATTTCACATTTTGTTTGGTGCTATATTATTTGCACTTTCTGAAGGACAGTTATTATTTTAGAATTGCTTTGTGATGAAATGTGGAATTCTTTCAATGTGTTTCTATTGCATTGCTTCGTATAATTCTACCACTTGGAGGAGCCTTTTTAGTGCTAGCTGAATGCAACATGTATAAACTGACTATTGGAATCTGTTTGAGGTTGTTTGATTTATTGAACATATTTTATTGCTCATATGTTTCTTAAAACAGGGTAAAGACAAGACACCTGAAGAAAGAAGGATTGCAATTTGCATTTTTGATGATGTTGCAGAGCAGTGTCGTGAGGCAGCTCTCAAGTAAAGCTCTTTTACATCTTTTACTGTTCTGTGATTATTATCTTTGAGATCACCCATCTTTGAGATCACCGATTGAATATGATTCTGCTGATGTGGTGGGACAGATATTATGATACATTTCTTCCTTTCTTGTTGGAGGCATGCAATGATGAAAACCCAGATGTTAGACAGGTATGCATGCACAGTTAATTCTTGTAGTTGATATGGCTTAGGTTATTGTTTTTCTTATCTATCTTTTTTCTTTGTTTCTTAGGCAGCTGTGTATGGACTTGGTGTTTGCGCGGAGTTTGGTGCATCTGCATTTAAACCGCTTGTTGGAGGTGTATACTGCTTGCATAACTTACAAAGTTGATCTGTTCACATGTGTATCTTATTAACATTTATAAGTGACTTTTTTTCCAGAGGCTTTATCAAGGCTAAATGTTGTTATAAGGCATCCTAATGCTTTGCAATCTGAGAATGTGATGGCATATGATAATGCTGTTTCTGCATTGGGAAAAATATGCCAGTTTCATCGTGACAGTATTGATGCAGCTCAGGTACTTAATATCTATTCTGTTTTTTTTATTGATTAATTATTATATTGCACGATTGTGTAAGAAGTTCCAACTATCAGTAAATGTACTTCCAATAACAACCTTTAGTAACTTTTTGCTAGCATTATTTTTTCTTGGCGGAATTAAAAGTTGTTATGTGTGATAGGTTATTCCTGCATGGTTAAACTGTTTGCCAATAAAAGGCGACTTAATTGAGGCCAAAGTTGTTCATGACCAACTTTGTTCAATGGTAGAGAGGTAAGGACTGCATTTATACTTATTTTAAACCTTGTCCTCTTATTTTTCTCTACAGTTTTTTTAACTCTTTGTCATGCATCATTAATAACGACAATGCCCTTTTTTATCTATACAGGTCGGATGGGGATCTTTTGGGTCCCAATCATCAATATCTTCCTAAAATAGTTGCAGTATTTGCTGAGGTTGGTTTTGCTTTATGACTTAGTACTTTTAATTGTTTACTTAAATTTGAAGAATGCTCTGTAAGAGTGAAAAATTATCGATTCTGTCTGGGCCATATCATATGGCACATTGTTCGGTTTATAACTTTTTTGACTGATCTATCTTTAGACCTATTTGGATTTAAAAAACTTTTCTGACTGATCTATCTTTAGACCTATTTGGATTTAGATAATTTTTTTGACTGATCTATCACTGACCTATTTGGATTTAGATATGTGAGGTTAGATACTTTACCTTACCTAATGTTTAGGTGATTATTTTCTAGATCTATCTTTCATAGATTGATGTCTTATCCCTTTGATGTACCTTAGAGAACTTTCTTATTTGTATCCTAACCTGCTATTTGGACAGATGACTGGTCTGAATCCTTGTCATACTCCATTTTGAGATTTGTTGCATTCTTGGCTATTACTTTTTGTTGCTTGCACAAAAGAATAAAAGCCATCCCAAAAGTTATTTTCGTAAAGAAAATCGAAGTCAGAAACTGCTCCTCGTGTTTGTGTAGGTTCTATGCGGTAAGGATCTAGCAACAGAACAAACTGCAAGCCGGATGGTGAATCTGCTGAGGCAGCTTCAGCAGACTTTGCCACCAGCTACCTTGGCCTCAACATGGTCATCCTTGCAGCCCCAACAGCAGCTTGCTCTGCAATCAATCCTCTCATAACAGGACCTTTTGAAGCACTTAGCAAGTAGCTGGTTTTGGAAAAGACGCATGGTCCGACCTGGCCTGTGTGTGTTGAAAATATATTTATTACCCATTCTTTTTCCATAAGGTGGTTATCGTCAAAAGTTGTCATTGCATGATGTTTGACCGCAACACAGCATTGGTTTGATTGAGCTTGAAAGTCAAGTCAAGTCAACATTGCGATTGAATGAATTGAATTTTGTGTCTGGTTGTAGAATGTGTATATTAGAAGTGTTAAATCTATGATCCTAGATTGAGTCTGGAAGAAGAAGAAGAAGAAAAAGGTTGTATTGTGGTTTTGTGAAGGGTTTTGTCGAGGTTGTCTTGTGGGCGAGGCAACTCCTATAGCAGTTTTGATCCCATTGTGGTTGTTCTTTGATAATTTCCTTACATACATACAAACTTGTGATTGTGATTATATTTAAACTGAAATTTTGGATGGTGATTCTTTTATTACGTTTGCAAAATGCATTTCAGTTTTGTTGTGTTGTGTTGTGTATGGATGATTTCATTTTCATGATTCAGAAAAGACTAATATTATCAGTTTATCTTTATACGAAATTTGTCATGTATGGTATTGTTTTTATATAGAGCCTTAATGTAACAAATCTTTGACCTCCCTCAGCAAATCAATTGAAAAAGATGGCAAATTTGTATAAAAGCCGAAGGTTGATATTTTATACTCGATTTGGATTAATCACCTTTAGTTTTAGCTACCTGTAAATTCTCATTAATTGCTATAAATTATAGTATGAGTCTAGGGCTAGTTGTTAGTATCCTACGATACCCGATACGTATCATACGATACGATTCGATACGGTCGTCAACGATACGTATCAGAGGGTGTATCCTAAACCATTCGATACTTTGATATGTATCCTACGATACGATACGTATCCGTTCGTATCCTTAAAAATATCGATATAAATCGATACAACTTTATTAATTTGGGTCAAATGTCCAAAAAAAAATTCGGGTCGAAACCAAGTCACCCAACCCGATTCACTAAAACTTGTCCAAATTTACCTATTTTGCATGGAGAAAGTAAAGAGGAATATGTATTGCCTATTTTACTGATAATAATAATATAGTGAGATATAGATATTGACATTAATCTGGAATTTTGTGATTAATTTTGATTATGTAATACCGTAATTTAAAGTCATAATGCTACAAAATTCTTTAATTAATCTTGGGGATTATATTAATTTTTAGAAAATTTTGTTATTTTATTAATTTTTTTTTGAAAAAGACGTATCTTACGATACGATACGTACGCAATACACGATTCAAAAATTAGGTTTTTGATACACGATACGATACACGATTTGATAACCGGTCTAGGGGAGATTCTTGACAAGGGGTGTATTGGTAATCAATTAGTTGAAATAAGAATATATTTCGTAATATTTGATGACGTATGTATAGTATTATTATCTAAGCATGGCCCCCATATTATATGGTTTAATTGCTTTTGTGATAATTATCATCATTATTACTTAAATCACCATCAAAATGTCAACTTTCTTCTATCACAAGCCGAATGTTTAGGGGCAAATATCTATTTGTTTTATAAAACCATAGTTATTGGTATATTTAGGGTGGAGAGAGTTGTTTTTCTTTTTATTCAATCATTTATTAAACAATTTTGAATGAGATTATAATGATACAATTAATTCTTAAAAAACTGATGTGGAAACCCTTATCTACTTTGATTTATTTAATGGGAACTTAAATTGGGACAAATATTCATGGACATGGTATATTCAATGCATATAAATCAAAATTTTAAGTTGATATAACCCAACCCTTTTTAATTTACCTTTAATTCAAGTTATCAATCATATTAACAACCCTTTTCTTAATACTATTATATTTCATTTTATATTCAACAAACGAATACACAAATAGGAAGAATAACCTTATTTTTTTTTTTTAACAACATTCCAAAAGGGTAAAACTATTTGTACAAAGTACAAACTCTCTATAAAGAGAGTTTAATTCCAAAAAAAAAAAAAAATTGGTGGCCATTGTAATTTACTAATTTTCTAAAAAAATTATTTAAGTTTTCCATTTTTTTATTTTTTTCTACTGATAATCCTTATATTTTTATTTTGACACGTATCATTCTCTGATTTTTCACCTAATTGTAGTTTAAAAATACTTATTGTCAATGAAACTATATTACACATAAAATTACCTTAATATCCTTAATAAAGTAAAGTGTTCTCTCATTGTCTTTTTCTAATAAAAGTATTCTACAACTGTAAGTTTATGAAAAAAGTGTTCTCTTACTAACAATAACCCTATTCTTTACGATAATTTCAGTTTAAAATATACACGAAATAGACTTAAATAACACAAATATTATGGCTTCGTTTGGTTGCATTTTGGGAATACTAGTTTTAGTATTCCCAAAAAAGTTAAACAGTAAAATACCCAAAAACTCACAATATTATTCAACTTTTTTTAAACTCCCTAAATTTGTTAATTTAATTAAATACCCCTAAATATTTTTTAAAAAATTGTAAAAACACTCCAACAATCCACATTTATCAGATTCCAGCCACCACTTCCGAAAAATAGCCGGAATCTGGTAAGATGGCGCACTACCGGCTGAATCTGACCGGTAGTGCGTCGATCTAGCCTTTTTCGGCTGGATCCATGGTGGATTTGGCCGGAAAAGGCTAGATCTAAGGCTAAAGATCTGGCCGTCTTTGGTCGTAACCAGTCGATAACGACGGCCAACAAACGGTCGTCGTTGACCATCAACGACGACCGTTTGTTGGCCGTCGTTGAATAGCAAATATGGCCAGATCTAGCCGTAGATCTGGCCTTTGCCGGCTAGATCACCGTGGATCTGGCCGGAAAAGGCCATATCGGTGCACGACGGGCAAGATCCAGCCAGTCATGCGCCGATACGGTGACTCCAGCCACCTTCCAGCGGTGGTGGCTGGCTGTACGTATTTGAGGGTGGTTTGGGGGTGCTTTTGTTAACTTTTAATGTTTCATTATAGGGGGTATTTTGTAAAAAAATAAATATAGGGGGTATTTTATAATTTGTAAATGCTCAATCGTAATACCCGCCCAATTCAACTTTTTTCAAAAAAAATTTCTCAAAAACACAAAATTGTGAACCAAACGGAGCCTATGTCAGTTTGACTAGAAACTTCATTTTCAATCCAATAGAACAAAATGGGCCCGAAATGAGTGAGGCAAATAGGCCCATTTGTGATGTGGGTCGGACCCATGAGCTCATGAGATTCTAAATAAAATAAGAAATGACAATAACATTCCAACCACTCTAAAAAGTGAGAATTTGTAATGTAGTGTGATGACAGATTCCACCCAACAGAGCATGCTCCATGAGATTATTCCTTTAGACTTGCTTTTGTTTTTATTGTATGAACGGGGCCCAATCCCAACCTTAAACCCACTTCATCTTCAACCTTACTTCTCCAAGTGTCATCCCTCCGTTAATTTTGCTTCTTGCTTCCTTTGACTAAGTGATCAAGAAGAGGCCAACAACTCACCCTTCATCTCCCTTTGATGTTTACAACTCAAAGGGTTGACTCTTGCCCTCCCAATTTTGGGAATGGCTTGCATGTTTTCTTATTAGGGTCTTTTTTAAATTTTCAGAATTCTTAGGTTTTTTAAATATAATTTGTATGTTATAATACCCAATTGTAAAATTTGAGAATTCTTAGATGAGATGAGAGTATCTTTACTCAGTATTTTTGTTTAATATAATCAGTTATATTTATGGTTAGATAGATTAAAAAAAAAATACATAATTGTAGAAATGATATACTTTTTTAAAAACTCATTTGCAAACTTTAATTGTCATATCATCACACGTGTATATTTATTTAATACGGTCAGTTATATTGATAATTAGATAAATGAAAAAGAAAATAATACATAATTATATGACTAATATCTTTTTTAAGATACAAGTAAACAAGGGAGGTATGATTGAGTCAAATCTCAAGCATCGTGAAATCAGTCAGCTTCAAATGGAACAAAACTCAATGACATGATGCCAAATAACAAACAGACGAGGCAACGAGGAACCCACTAACAGAACAACTATTTTAGACTTTCAAACTTCATTCTCTTCAACTATATATTACCCTCCTTTCTCAACTCTTTTTCTCTGTGAATTATCAGCTTCTTTTGTGAGCATTTTCAATGGGACACCAACTCCAAAGTCAGCACAAAGGTGTCTCATCAGCAGCCAAAAAACAAACCAAATTCAAAGAGAGAGCATCATCAAACACCACAACAAAGACTTGCAAGAAAAGTAAGTTTGTTGGGGTGAGACAAAGGCCTTCTGGGAAATGGGTTGCTGAGATTAAAGACACAACCCAGAAGATTAGAATGTGGCTCGGCACGTTTGAGACTGCCGAAGATGCGGCAAGAGCTTACGATGAAGCTGCCTGCCTTCTTCGTGGATCGAATACTCGAACCAATTTCGCTACTCCTGTGTTTACCAATTCCAACCTCTCTTTGAAGATCAGAAACCTGCTTAATCACAAAAAGAGCCTTAAACAAAGCTCCCCTGCACAACCCACCGCCGTTACCAACACAAAAGCTAGCATTAAACCAAGTACTATAGTTAGTACTAATAGTAGTATTGTTAGTGATAGTATAAACAATGACAGTTTTCTATATAATGGCATGAAACAAGATGGCCTTGTGTTTGATGATGCATACAAGCCTGATTTGAGCAGCTGCATCGCGGAACTTGAACCGAGTAGTACTCAGTTTGATCATTCATGGCCATTCCCAACCGGGTTTGATTCGCTTCCATTTACTCAACAAGGAGTGTTCCAATTGCCTAAACACAATGGTTTTCCTGAACATCCAGCTGACATAGAGTTATCAGAATTCGAGCGGATGAAGGTAGAAAGACAGATATCCGCATCTCTATATGCGATGAATGGAGTGAATGACTACTTCGAGAATGCATTTGATTATCAAAGTCAAGCTGTATGGGATCTTCCCTCACTGGCACAAAGCTCTCTCTTATTTTCTCAATGTTATGAGTTTTGAATGCCCGAAATTAGGAAGATATCGGCATTTATATGATGATAAATGAATTGATTGAGCATCTTGAGAATGTACTATGTTCTTAGTGATGTAATGAAGAAAGTTGAATGCATAAAAATAGAAAATTAGATAATTGATATATAGAGTTTCTATACTTTTAATAATGCCTGAATAAAATCCAGGACTCTTGATAAACTTGCATATCTTTTAGAAAATCATAGCATCTGCACATGAAAGTTTACTTGACTCCATTTCTTGAGCTTTTGGAGATGGCTATACTCAACAAATCAACAATAGAATTGATAAAATAATCAAGCCTAAACTTCAATTGACAGACTGGAAGATTGGGAATAATCCTGATGAAACAAGAAAAAAAAAAAAAACTGCATACCGCACGCAGCCTATTGTAGAATATTCCTTAGTACCTACCTTATTGTAATGCAAAAGGAAACGTTTTGTCAATGGCTGCTTGTCTTAGGCTCCTTGTAACTCTTCGGATATACACAGAATGAAGGCAAACGAAAATGCTCTAGAAGGTGTAAAATTCAACCCGAGTTATAGTTTCACCATAGCATTTGCAACATGAAGATAATCTGCCAAATAAAAATTGAAAAAATGATATCGCCAAAATATATGCCATGCCGCTCACTGGCTCTTATACTTTTCGTCTGAAGCTTCTTCTCTTGAATGTGATTTACTCCTCTCTTCCATAAACATTTTTTTTTTTCTTGAGATAAGAAATGGTTAGTAAAGATGAAAATTAAGAGAGGGTTAAGGTATGAGATGTATTCTGTTAAGTAAAAACTCTAAAATGCGGAAGAAAGGATTCTACAATGAAGCACCCTTAAATTAGCCTTTTTCATCTTGGATCTTCTAGAGCTCCTTTGTAGTTATGTACACTATCAGAAATCCCTTTTGAGCTGCTATTCTGCATCCTGAATAAATACTAATTTAGCATCCATCAAATATCTCAGGATTCAAACGTGATGGAAGATCTTTCTTACTCTGGTGTTAAGTGATAAACGAGCTCTGTGCCCATTTCATGGCCACACTAGCTCTTAAGTTGATCAATCTGAATCCAGACATCTGCAAGTGAGTTTTCCTTATTCTCAAGAGGTTTATTGGAATCAGCAATATCCTGGTTAAGTTGTTTCAATTCTGATTTGTTGTGAGGTTACCTGGGAATGGGATAACAAGTGAATGGGATAACAAGTTCAGTCATTAATTTCCTGGCCTAATCCTTGAAGCATAGAGCTAACATTTTCCAGTTCCTTTTTCTCTGCGTAATTATATTCATGAACTCCAATTTTGACAGCCTAAAATCATAAAATCCCCCTTTCAGTCATGTTATCGCTTCCTCAAAACAAGCAAATTGGTTACTTTCCTACACCATTTCATTCTTGAGCTCCTTTGTCAGGATTACCGTATAGATAATTTAGCAGCATCCATAAATACCCTCAGTATTTCTGCGATCAAATGTGATAGATCTTTTTCCTCTTTTAAGTGATAAATGAGCTGAGTGTCCATTTCATGGCCGTACCAAGTCTTCAAGTTGATCAAAATGAATCCAAAGATTTTGGAAATAATGTGTCTTCAAGCACAGATTTAACATTTCCCAGTTCCTGTTCTTTCTGCATAACAATATTCATGTACTACAATTCCGAGGGCCATGACACATCTATAATGGAAATAAAGCACAACTAATAATGTCAAAACATTACTTCATTCGTACCTTGAAAAGCACATTGAATCACAGCATAGACACAATTTTGGCATTTTTAACAACGAAAATTAACAGTGCTAAACAAGAGAAACAACACAACAATATAAAGCTACGGGCTATTGGTTGTGGACAGACCAACTTCCACATAAATGCCATTCAAAAGTATCTTTTACTAGTTGAAGGTGCATCAATAGTCTTCACCTTCCTCCTCATCATCAACACCTTCTGCACCTACTTCTTCATAATCTTTCTCAAGTGCAGCCAAATCTTCACGTGCTTCTGAGAATTCACCTTCTTCCATGCCTTCACCGACATACCAGTGCACAAATGCCCTCTTGGCATACATGAGATCAAATTTGTGATCAATGCGAGAGAACACTTCAGCCACCGCTGTGTTGTTGCTAATCATGCACACAGCTCGCTGCACCTTGGCCAGGTCACCCCCAGGTACAACGGTTGGAGGCTCATAGTTAATACCACATTTGAATCCTGTTGGACACCTGTGGAGTTCAAATACAACAGAATCTTAGATCAAAAGGAAAAATGTAAGGCAGAAGCACAGTGTTAAAAGAGGTAGCAAAGTTGCACAACAATTAAGCTACAAGCTTACAAGGTCACATTAATATTTCTCAAAAGTACTCAAAGTATTAATATTCTACAGACTCTTCTGATGCAGGATATGTTACAAGAAATAATTAAGAACTGATAAAACCCTCTTGATCAAGTTTTAAAATTTAAAAAAAAAAATCTACTGTTATCCAGTCAGATTCTTCAACAAAATATGTTGTATAATTTGCTTACCAGTCAACAAACTGTACAGTTCGTTTGGTTTTGATGGTGGCTACAGCAGCATTTACATCTTTGGGAACAACATCTCCCCGATACATCAAGCAGCAAGCCATGTATTTCCCATGCCTGGGATCACACTTGGCCATCATACTTGAGGGCTCAAACACTGCATTTGTGATCTCTGGAACTGATAGCTGTTCATGGTACGCTTTTTCAGCTGAGATGACAGGGGCATATGATGAGAGCATGAAATGGATACGGGGATATGGTACAAGGTTGGTCTGGAACTCTGTAATATCAACATTGATTGCTCCATCAAACCTCAATGAAGTTGTCAAAGATGATATGATTTGAGAAATCAATCGATTCAAATTAGTGTATGTTGGCCTCTCAATATCTAGAGATCTGCGGCATATGTCGTAAATAGCTTCATTATCCAAAAGCACAGCAACATCTGTGTGCTCAAGAAGGGAATGAGTAGACAGAACACTGTTATAAGGCTCGACAACTGCTGTTGACACCTGATATATGAAGAATAGGTTAATCAGAAGTTAAAACACGGATTGATTACAATTAAAGAGTTCCTAATTTTAAGGTCATCTATAACATGAAGGCCCAGAGCCACCACATTCAAAGATTACAATTTCTTGATCCAGGTTGCCAGGTCAAAACTATTATTCAGTACCTGAGGAGAAGGGTAGATAGTGAAGCCAAGCTTTGACTTCTTCCCATAATCTACAGACAAGCGTTCTAACAGCAAAGACCCCAGACCAGAACCAGTGCCACCACCAACAGCATTAAACACCAAAAATCCTTGGAGCCCAGTACAGTTATCAGCCAACTTCCTCACTCTATCAAGGCAAAGATCAACAATTTCCTTCCCAACTGCACAATATAACAATCAACCTAAACCAACAAAGAACCAATATAAGTGTTTTTTACACCATTTATAAACAATCACAATTACCAGTATAGTGCCCCCTCGCAAAGTTGTTAGCTGCATCTTCCTTGCCAGAAATAAGCTGCTCTGGGTGGAAAAGTTGGCGGTAAGTACCAGTTCTAACTTCATCAATGACTGTTGGTTCAAGATCAACAAACACAGCCCTTGGCACGTGCTTGCCAGCACCAGTTTCACTGAAGAATGTGTTGAAGGCATCATGGCAAGAGCCCACTGAGGGATCACTACATAGACATCAAATTGAGCAAATGTCAATACAATTTGCCTAAATTTGAATAGGAACATACTATGACATAAGCAACAACTAAATTGTGCAAATATTCACCAAAAAGTGAAACAAAATCACAATTACTTAAATCAGTTGCACTGAATCTATTCATCAAAAAATTTAAAAACAAAGAAATTCAATTTACACTTATCCTAACTCGTATATTCAACACGTAAAAGAAAAACTTCTAACTTTTCACAACAAACACCACCAAAAATTATGATTTCACCACCTCATCCCTGCAAGTTCAGCCACAAGTTACAAACCTCACCATGCTCAGAAAGCACAAAAACAAAAAGGGTATAATCGACTTAATTCTAACTCAAAACCTCCAACTTTTAACAACAACCACAGTAAACTCACCACAAAAACCATGATCTTCACCATCTCATCCCCACAAATTCACATATAAAGTTCCGGTTTGAAATGTAAAAGTAAAATAAACACAAAAAGGGTATAACCAAAATCAACTTTTGTACTCAATAAGATCAAACTTCAGTAAGAAAATAAATAAAATAAAAAAAAATCTTCCCAAGTAAAATTAATTTTAAAATGCTCGCAAACATAAAAACATAAAAGTGTACAACCAAAATCAGCTTCTGAACTCAATACTCAACTTTCACAAAAAAACCACAAAATCACCATCTCAACCACTCATTTCATCTACAAGAAACTAACCTAACATGCTCAGAAAACATAAAATCGAAATGGGTATAACCTAAATCAACTTCTAAACACTCAAAAAACACACCACACACAAAAAAAAAACACACACAAAAACCCCACAATCTCACCCCCAAAGTTCCGATCTCAAACGAATAACAAAATCAACTTCTACCCTTATAAAAATACAAAAAATAAAAAAAACTCAAACTTTAACAAAAATGACACAAAACCCCCCAAAAAATTACAACGTTACAATCCCACCCCAAAATCCATCCACAAGTTTGAATCTAGAAATGCTAATTAAACATAAAACACAAAGGGTACCCGGCATCATCCCATCAGGCTGAATGCCATGTTCGAGGCAATAAAGCTCCCAACATGAATTGCCGACCTGAATTCCAGCTTGTCCAATGTGTATACTAATAATCTCTCTCATTTCTTCGCTCCCGCGTCCTTTCAAAAATGCCAGAAAACCTAATCCCGCCTTTACCTATTTGTACACTCTCTGAGGATCAGATTCAAACACCAGCGAAAGTGCTTATGTTTTAAGTTGCTTTATATTGTTTATTTACTGACTGTTACACGTATGGTGAATTTGTTGACTTATAGTGCGGATTTAATAAAAATTTGGAATCCGGATATGACAAGGGCGCCAGCCTTTCTTGGGCTCCACTTAGGGCGGTTTTGAGCATTTACTAATTATCCTTCCTTGTTTTTATTTAATAGAATGAGTTTTATTATAAAGTTTTATCTAATTAGTAAATTTATAAAGGAATATTAAAATTTGAATAGAATGAGTTTTAGTAAGTATCAATAAATTTATTATTTTCCTTTTGATATTGTAAGTGTTTCTTTCAAATTTTGTTAACAATAATATTAAAATCTAACATCAGTTTGAAAGACTCATTTAAATTGTACATATTTGTTTAAGTTTTTGTTTATCATTAATCTTAATCTTTATGAATTAATTTTTAAACGTGTTAAAAGAATATAATATATTATTAACGTATATAAATCTATTTTCTTATAGATATCGTTAAAATTCTTTATTTTCAACTGATTTTTGTATTATATAATAATCCACAACAAAACTAAAATTCCAATATAAATGATATCAAATTAGTGTTGCATATTTTTTTAATTTCATGATTATTATCAATTGATAATATTATTAAATCGTTCTATGGTATAATCCTAAGTTAACTAATAACCTTCATTATATTAGTTTATAGTAGAATAAAAAATTAGAAAAACTTTAAAACTATTTGATCCAATTAAAATTTAGAAAGTTAAAAAAATATAAATGACAAATTTATATTAAGAGGGTAGAATAGGAAAGTGAAAATGGGGGACCATGTGAAAGAAGAGAAAACTAAAATACTTTTTTGATAAGATGGGAGTGAGTTGTTACTATATTTTTTATACATACACATCCTGGCATGCAATGCTTAGTTGTTATTGTGTTGTTTTTTTTGTTTTGTTTTTTTTTATTATTGAGATGTTGGACAGCACACTTAAAATTTGGAGTTTGAAATTGTTGTTGAAAAGAGTTTTATCTACCTTATTAATATTAGAAAACTCAAAAAGAATTTATAAATATCTTTTTGCTCTTATATCGTCATCCACCATGGTTTTTTCTTCAATTATCTACGATTTTTATCCATGTGAGTGTGACAATACATTTTTTGTTTTTCCACAATACAACTACTAATAAATCTACCGCTAAAATATCCAAGCTTTTATTTCACATCGGAATCATATAAACCTTTAATTATAATTATAATTTATTAGATCGTGATTTAATGATTCAAACAGAATAATAATACTTCAAATTATTTGAAATTTTAAGACAATTTTAAACATATTACTTTATAGTAATTGTTTTCTACCTTTTTCGAGATTTACATTTTTTTTCGTTAATCGAGAAACTTAATTTGTTATAACTTACTGTCTATATACATAAAACTGAATACATATTTACTTTTTCATTGACCAAAACTTAATCATAATCGTATACATTACGATCAATAATATGTCTCGATATGTTACATGATGTAATATATATTCTAATAATCTATCTAAACAAATATAAATACAATGCGAATAAGAAACTAGATAAGGTTGACAGAATGCAAACTTTGATTCACCAAACGTTAGTTCAATCAGATCTGAATGAGTGAAGCTCATAGTTATAGTCGTAAATTAAGTAATATACCAATTGTTTTGTGCCGGTGTTGGAGCAACAAGGTTGGTAACAACATTATTAATGTCCTTATAGCAAGGTTGGCATGCACATGCATCATGTCATTCCATGCATGCATATATTCTATTCTTATTGTGAGGGTAAGAATTTAGGATCAAGAACATTTTGAATCATAGTTGAAGTGGGAAGCAATGAGTATATCCTGGTATATAATATTCATATGAGATATATGTATTTACCTCTTGGGTTTGGGTATAGTATTACAAATTCTACAGTTTAAACTACTAGGATAGACCTCCTTTATTCAATAGACACTAACCTATGTTTGGATAAAATGGGCAACTCACTCATACCCGTAAGGGTAGTGAACGAAATAGAGACAACATAGGAACAAAATATAATTAAAACAAATCAAATAGTAAACAAAAAAATAACATGCGCGATTTACCCTGGTTCACCCAATGTGGGCTATGTCCAGTTGAGTCAATATATTGCAATATGCCTCACCTCTCTCGTTTACAATGATAAATTGCCCTGTGATTTGCTATCACCCCCCTAACAGAGAAAAATATGTTTATAACTAGATTTAAGAGATTAAACCTAGTTTTACAAGGATTCCTATTCCTAAGCCCCAACCCATAAAGAATTAGTAACTTAAAAGAAATCTTATAGCGATTTAACTAGAAAAGCCCAAAACCGCCTACGGGCTCGGGGGCGCTGGCCCGCGCGATCCCTGTCCGCTGACGGGGTAGCAGGAGCCCGAGTGCGTCTCCGTTACCCATAATGCTGAAGTAGTCGACAACTCTAACAGGTAGAACATATAATTCACTCTTAACTTGATTGTCTCTACATAAAAAAATGTTGTTTTAAAGTTAGAATTTGATTAACGGTTGTAAGTTTGATGGTGGTATTTCTTTGTATTTGAAAATCAAGACCTTGACCCAATTGGACCAAAAACTCAAAGTGGATTAAGTCTTTATCTCCATCTTATTCTTATATATGGATACTAGCTTGAGTCCTTAATTAAGTGCAAGCAAAGGCAGAGTCAGTCTTTGCCCAAGAGGGGCTCTTGCCCCATCTTAAATTATTTTAAAATTGTCTTCAAATTTTCAATGTTTATTATATTTTTATTAAAATTCTCTCAAAATTTGGACATTTTGAAAGTAGAGAAATTATATTAAATGGCATTATTATAGAGGTGGAGTTGAAAAGCGGTTTCTCACAATATAGCAAAATGACACTATGTACTATTTTTATAGACGAAAATGCCCTTATTCACAAATTCTTAATCTTTAAACACCTTCTTCAACCCTTAAAACCTATCTAACCCATTCTTCATAACTACAATCCCAACAAAATTGAAGGATACCTATGTAGGTAGGTGGTTAATGTTGGTTGTTTGAGTTAATTTTTAGATGAAAATGTTGAAAATTGAAGGATTTTAATGTTTTTAACAAAATCTGAGACTGCCTATCGGAAGGTATTAATGGTATCAGTCATTTTTTCAATCCAAGGTTGAAGACGACAAAAAGTATCAAATATTGTCTGATAGGACTATACGAAAAGTGACCGATACCATCAATATCCTCAGATGGTGGTCCTAGGTTTTGTCAAAAACATCAAAATTCTTCAATTTGCAATATCTTTAATTAAAAATTAACTCAAACAACCAATTTTAACCACTTATCTACATAATAATAAAAAAATCCTAATTAACATGTTTATTACACACAAAACCAATGTTTTGAAACTCGAACTAGACTGGTTGGTTAGACCGATTGGACCAGGTTTCGGCCATAACTCTAGTTCAATAACGCATAAAACTCAGTTTTGAGCAATAAATCGCTTTGGACCGCGATTGGACCTACGTAATAGTGTCAAACCGCCAGTCTAATTGATTCAGATGAAAAACTGGTTTAATAAAACTTAAAATCCCTAAAAAAATCTAATTCTCCTTCGTTCATCTTTGATCTTTATTGTTCTTTGTTCATTTCATTCACAATCACCATTTTTTTTTTAATCAAAAACCCCTTTTTCTCGAAGATTGAAATTCTTCGTGTTTCGAGGGCTTTGAAAATTCTTTCATA